GAGGAAGATGGGACGGAAAAGAGCAATGGGGCCAGATGGCATACCGATCGAGGCTTGGAGAAGTTTGGGAGAGAGAGGTGTCGAGTGGTTAACAAGTTTCTTCAACATGATTTGGAGAAACAACAAGATGCCAACGAGTTGGAGGAAGAATACTCTTATCCCCTTATTTAAGAATAAAGGTGATGTACAAGAATGTGCCAACTATCGAGGGATTAAGCTTATGAGTCACACCATGAAACTTTGGGAGCGAGTGATTGAGCAAAGACTTCGAAGGACTGTGAAGATTTCAGAGAATCAATTCGGTTTTATGCCTGGTCGCTCAACAACTGAGGCCATTCACCTTCTTCGGCAACTTATGGAGAAGTATAGAGATGCTCATAAGGATCTGCATTTGGTGTTCATTGACTTAGAAAAGGCATATGATAGGGTACCTCGAGAAGTTCTTTGGTGGGCCTTAACTAGGAAAGGCATATCACGCAAGTATATCAACATCATCATGGATATGTATGAGGATTGTACTACAAGTGTTCGTACTAGTGTAGGGAGGACCGAAGAGTTCTCTATTACTATCAGAGTGCACCAAGGATCGGCTTTGAGTCCTTTCTTATTTGCCATAGTCATGGATGAACTTACGAAGTCAATTCAAGACGATATACCGTGGTGCATGATGTTTGCCGACGATATTGTATTGATCGATGAGACGCAATCAGGTCTTAAAGCAAAGTTGGAAGTATGACGACAAACATTGGAGAATAAGGGTTTCAAACTAAGTCGGAGCAAGACAGAGTACATCGAGTGCAAGTTTGGTGGAGGTAGAAGTAGTGGTAATACCGGAATTACTCTGGATGGTAAGGAGATACCAGTCAGCGATATGTTCCGTTACTTGGGCTCCATAATTCAGAAGGACGGTGAGTTAGATGGAGATGTATCCCATAGAATCAGAACAGGGTGGATGAAGTGGAAGAGTGCGTCAGGATTTCTATGCGACCGAAGTATGCCGACTAGACTGAAGGGTAAATTTTATAGGACAGCAATTAGGCCTACATTACTGTATGGCGTAGAGTGTTGGGCGGTGAAACAATGTCACATTCATAAGATGAGTGTGGCAGAGATGCGCATGCTGCGTTGGATGTGTGGGCATACAGGAAGGACCGCGTGAGGAATGAGACAATCAGACAAAGGGTGGGAGTAGCACTTATTGAAGACAAGATGCGGGAGTCGCGCCTACGGTGGTTTGGTCATGTGCGTATAAGACCGAGTGATGCACCTGTTAGGCGAGTTGAGATGTGTGGAGAAGAGGCAGGGAAGAGAGGGAGAGGAAAACCCAAACAGACGTGGGTTAGGGGAGTTCGAAGTGATATGCTTCTTCTGGGGTTGGAGGAGGGCATGACTTTGGAGAGAACTAAGTGGAGTGATCTTGATAATCTTTTTCCCTCATCTTTTTTTTCCTAGTTTTTTTTATCCTTATATATATATATAAACATTATTTGCAGCCTTTTTATTTTATCATTATATATATATTCATCTTTTTTTATATTATCTTTTCATAATAGCTTATCTTTTTATCTTTATTCCTTCTTTTCCTTTTGGTTGTGATATCATGTATCGATTCATGTTAGCCGACCCCAATATCTTTTGGGACTAAGGCTTGGATGTTGTTGTTGTATTACACCTATTTATAGAAAAGGAAAACTCTCTGATACCCCATATCCTTGAATAGGTACACAAATTTAAGCTAACATTTTACTGAAATAGTATTTGCTGCCTTCTGTTTTGACGTATTGAATTTTTGACTCTACCAATATTCAACAATCATTTGCTGCCAACTAGTATCAGAGTTCTTTGATTCTTTTTCTTATATCTGAATATTTTTTAGTATTCTTCTTTGAATTCTAAACTAAAATCTTAGGGAAAACTGTCATATACGTCACTGTACTTTACAAACATTGAAAATGAGAAGACTTCCAGTAGAGGTGACCAACCAAGATCCGTTTATGTTCCTGAATCTCTCTGAAAATCCAGTTGTTACGAACAATAAACTCACCGAGTCTCTAAATCATCGGTATTGTACATGCTTGTTGAACTTCGGTTCATGGTTCAAGGAGTAGAGGATCATCTAAACAAAACACCTGATCATTCATCACAAGAAAGAAGTTCCGAAAAGATTTGATGTCCAACTATGCAGCTTACTATGGCAATCTCTATCACCAGACTTGTCATGACCTTTCAAAACATGTTATTTTTGGGTGGAATCACACAAAATCGTTTTAGAAAAATGGCATCTCCAGATTCTAATTCATCTTGGTTGGAATTATGAAACTTGTGTAAATGGAAGGTCATGTGAATGAAATTTTTCTCCAGAGAAAATCTAGTTATTAGGAGGCCAGTGCAAAGGATCATACCGAGTTCCATACTCTTATGCCCACGGGAGGATCTCTTGATGAACAACAAGCCTGACAGGAAAATAGTTTGGTGGTATTCTCTCTCTACACTTGGAACAAAATATGAACCTGTTTGCAGTCAACTACTCAACTCCTAAATAAAAATATGTACCAAGTGCTGTAGAAGTTTTTAAACTACTACAAGGATCATCCATGGAAGAAGAAGCTAATCTCAATAGCTATATTCGGCTCGTTCACCTTAATCTAGTGCTGGTCTAGGCAGTGGTTGAAGCAATTATATTAGGAGGCCAGAGCAAAGGCTACCTGTTTTTGCGATTTTTGTAAAACATAACACGCAAGGACATACATGTGAACAATGTTGGAAATTGCATGGGAACCCCCCAACTGCAATTAATGATGCCGCGGCCAAAATTTCACATTTCTTATCAAAACCTGACTTCCTTGATATTTAGACTACCAGAACTTCAATTACCCCCGATCTCATACTGTATCTTCAAAGTCGGAATAATCTTTTTACCCCGAAAGTGCACGGGTCATTTGCCAAATAGGAGTATCTTTGTTTTATCCTGAATTTAGGAATCAGAAAGACTTAAGAGAAAAGTAAACCTAGTTAATACTTCTTCAAGGAGTGAGCAAGTCCTATTCAGAGGGGGTGACCTATTTAAATAAATGTCTTCAAGGAGTGACCAAGTCAAATTCGGAGGGGGGTGTTCTATTTAAATAAATGTATTATGTTTTGGCCATATATATGATATGTTATATCTTAATATTTACCCGAATTTTTCTTTCCTTAAAAGTTCACCTTTACTTTCCTTCATATATTTCTATGACATTTTCTGGGTTCCAATGGTCCAGAAAGTAAAACTCTCATTGAATACTGATCTTTTTATGGAATGTAGGAATGACAAGGGCAACACGCTTACTGCTTCATACTACCACACTATACAGCCATTAACAAACACAAACATTGGTGCCGAGTTGATTCACACTTTCTCAAGCAACAAGAACTCTCTCACCATTGGGACTCAACATGCATTGGATCCATTGACCATGGTTAAAGCCAAGGTTAACAACAATGGCAAGGTATATGCTCTTATCCAACACGCATGGAGTCCAAAGTCACTTTTTACCATCTCGGGTGAGGTAGACACTCGGGCAATTAAGAAGAGTGCCAAATTTGGGTTGGCTGTTACTCTTGCTCTCGAGCCATGATTGGTTTACTACATTGGGGGTGGTAGTGGGAGCCTGGGAGAGAGGGGTGTTTGGCATGTTTTTTTGGGGAGAGAAAATAAGTTGCGTACAAAATGTTTATGCAATTAGTATCTCTTTGTTTTCACTGGCGGGTTCATACATTGATACTGTAAAAAATGATCGTTCTATTCACTGGTGGTTTTGTGCCAGTGACTTACCAATTCAATATTATGGACTTTCATAGAATTTCATGTACTCTTTTGTACAGTATCTTACTCGGTGAGTGTCCCAGTTTTCTATTACGTTTTGTTCAGATATCAACACTACAGAACAATGTGGTCTGAGAATACTCAGTTGATGTTTCCTTAACTGGGTAACTTTTTAAATTTCACTCCATTATTCTTATGTTTTTTTATTTGCCAGTTTTTTGTGCTCTTATCTTTTTATCTTTTATCTTTCTTATATTCTTATGTTATTGTTATCTTACATTTATTTATCTTTATTTTACCCGTTTTATCTTACTTCTTTTTTCTTCTTCGTCCTTTTTGTCTGTATTCTCTGTTTGGCATCGATATCGATATCATAGATCGATTCATGTTAGCCGATCCCAAATTCTTTTGGGATCCCTTATTGTTGTGATACTATGTGTAATAATAATACCCGCTCTTCTTACTCTCTGTAACTTTGATTAATACGGAGTATATTTTTGTAAAAGTTATGTGTACAATTTTATGAGAATTTTTAATAAAACCGTTTTCAGGTTATGAATAATTCATACACAAATATATTATTGTTCAAAGTTTAACAGAGTAAAAACGATTGTGCTTTAAAGTGTCGGATGGAGTACATTTCATGCTGGAATGGAACAGTTTCAACACAAAACAGAGGTACTAAAAGCGGAAGAAGTTCCTAATCCAACCAAATGATTATTAGATGAGCGAAAGTGTTTAGTAATTCATACTCTTCTTTATAATAAAAAGAAGTCACCCCATCTCAAAGGATCTCTGGAAGTCTGGAACTGGTTGAACAATTATCAGGAGGAATTAAAGAGGTTTCAGTAAAGATCTTTGCTTGGAACATTGGAAGTGAGCTTGGGACCTCCCTTGTGACACTTTCTTCATGGGATAAACTTGGTCTGAAACATGGTCCGGTACTGTGCAGGGCTGGACTGGGTCCATAAAACCAGTCTTAGGTACCCGACCGGGTAAAAGGGTTACCAGTCTTAGATTGGAAGGGTTACTCTAATTCTCTCTACTCTCAATCATATCTTCATACTCATAAATCATAATTATATATATATATATGTGTGTGTGTGTGTTTGTGTATGTGTCTATATATATACATATATATATATATATATATATATATATATATATATATATATATTTAATTAATTTACAAAAAATGGTCCTAACCATAAATTTTCTGGATGCGGAGAGTATCAAATGGTTAAAAATGGCCTGAACTAACCAGAAACCAAGGACCTTTATTGCAAAGAAGTTAAAACATACATAAAATTTAATGAGTTGGCGATTGTATTGGTACAAGTTATACTTGGACTTCAAATGTAGCGGAGAGCTGAGCTGAGCTTGCCAATTCAAATCTTTAAAACGAACTTAGCCAGCCAGTCAGGCCAGTCACAAACTTCCTAAATGAAGTGAATAACTCATACCGGTCTATTGATGGCCCATGGAGCGCCTGCCATCACAGCTTCAATGTCTTCAATCTTTCGAGGGCATTTAGTCATGTTTATGCAGCCATCTGAGGTAATCCGAACATCACTCTCAATTCTAACACCACCAGAACATTTGAATCTGCAGATCTCCTCATGATTGAAAAAAATGGATGTTTTTGAAGTTTCCATTGCAGGAAGTAGTAACGCGTTAATGAAGTAACATCCCGGCTCCACTGTTATCACCATTCCTTCCGAAAGTTCCCTGCTTGTACGTAGAGCACTCAACCCTGGTTCTTTTGGTCTCTCCTCTCCCTTCTTGAAGCCTCCAACATCGTGAGTATCAATACCAAGGAAGTGACCCAGACCATGAGGCATGAACACAGCCCCTAATCTCTCATCCATCATCCTCTCAACATCACCTGTTAATAGGTTCCCTTTTTTCAATGACTCTAATATTACTTTTTCTGCTAATTTGTGCATATCAACCCAGCAAACTCCAGGTCTCAAAGTAGATATAACAGCATCATGAGCATCAAGAACAGCATTATATATGAGAGACTGGTCAGAAGTAAATTTTCCATTCACAGGAAAGGAACAAGTTATATCTGAAGCATAAAAATTGTACTCAGCTCCCATGTCAAGCAGTGCCATATCTCCATCTTGCAATATCTTGTCATTTGGAGCTGCCGCATGACCATAATGGAGAACAGAACCATTTTCACCGGTAGCACATATACATGTGTACGAACAATGCCTGCATCCACCAAAAAAATAGGTATGATGAAGAAACATGCTCTCTAACTGGTATTCTTTCATACCCACTTTTATACTTCGCATAACCTCAACATGAGCTTCTGAGCTTATATCATTGGCAAATTGGATGAGAGCAAGCTCCAAATTTGACTTTATAACACGACATTCAGCCAAAATAGGATGTAATGCATCTAAATCTCTCTCAAAGCTCTCAATGCCCTGGAATTCTGCGGGTTTTGAGAATTTATCACTGTCAGTGTTGAGCCCATGTAGAAGAAACAACAAGGGATTGCCCTTTCCTTTATAGAGATCAAGCAAAACATGGACAATCTCATCTGTATAAAAGACCTTGTTAACCCTATATTTTTCCTTGAAGTAGGATACAGGCTTTATTTCTCCCAGCCAAACTGCATAGGAATCTGATAATCTGGGAGCAAAGAGCATTGACTCCCCACTTGCTACATCAATAGCTCCATAGAACCCAGGCTCTTTTACTCCAAACAGGTACGCAAAATAGCTCTCCTGTCTAAACAGCTCATCGTGGTCAGTGCAGTATCTACTTTGATCCTCGCCTCCCTGCAAGAACACAAAGCCTTGAGAGGGACGAGAGAAAGAAGAGAGATTGGCTCGTAGAGAATTGAGGAGCTTCTCGCGGTTCACTGAGTGAAGCTTCATAGGAACCTCCGGTGGCGATAGAGAAGACGTCATGGTGGTTTGCTTTCTCTCGCAGTCCGACGGCTATCGGAGTATCGGTTCTTGAGCGCCGTGTATTCCCTTCTCGACACGACGACACCCTATATCGATTGTGGGCCTACAGTAAGTCGACGCTAGGGATGGGTCACTTTAAAGTTTCCCATATGTACTACTTAATCTGAAAAATAATTATTTTTGAAAGAATCTGATAATAATCAAATAAGACTATTAAGATCTATTATGAACTTTCATTCGTACACTAGAGTTAGTAAATTTGTCATTGATATATACACAATGAAAATAGAAAATTCTAATCTTTTAGTTGTGGGACATATAATAGATAAGAATGTAATAAAAATATAACTAAAAATAAACGGGGCGGGTAATGGGGCGGACATGTATAAAACCGTAACCGCCCCGTTACTCGTAAAAACAAAATGAGTATTCCCCGTCCCATACCCGTTACCCGGTCAATGCGGGGCGGGTATCCACCGGATCGGTCACAATTGCCATCTCTAGTCGACACTCACGTTTGTTGTTGGAAAATTATATATATATATATATAGGGAGTGGATCAGGTGAGAAGTGCTCGTAGGCTGAGAACTGCGAAGTTTAACTACTGATGCACATTTGCCTCTTTCTCATGCACTTTCTCGCTAATCTCATGCACTTTTTGCGATGGCAGAAAAGTTATGATTAATTACGGAAATGCCACCGTGTCTAGCATCAACTTTTTAATATTTTTGCACTTTGCCGTGCACCTTTTTGCTAATCTGATGCATAGATCTTAAATTGAACGCACCAGATGCATTCTCATTTCTTACGATAATCATTCTTCTCATTTGATCCTTATTCTATACACACACACACACACACACACACACACACACACACATATATATATATATATATATATATATATATTCAAATGAGAACAACTCTTAACGTGAGAACAGATCTCAATCATTCAATTTTTTGGGTGAAATGTAAGAATTAAAAAGATACCCAAGGAAAAAGGGTTTGAAGAATGTACAAGTGTCAAAAAAGAAACTACCAAAGCTAGAAAACTAACCTACAGTAGCATCTACCGTTCACACACACCCCACCCCTACCATGCGGCAGGGGCAGGGAAGGAGTAGATTTATCAAAAATAAGTCCAAACACTAGCACGGGACAGATCCCCGACTTAGTAACAAAAACCATCAGCAAAACAAGCCCAAAATTCAGTCACAAAAGTCCAACACAAAAGCAAAGATTCAAGCTTTCAGGAAAGTGGGCCAGTTAAAGCCCGAGTAATCCTTTCCGTGTCCATCCATGTAGCTAGGCAAGCAGTATTCCCATCGTCCAATTCGTTTTCCCAGCATGCAGTTGACCCAAAGCTGGCAGCCCAGGTGCGAGCAGCCCATCATCGCTAGGGTAAGCCCAACATTCCATCACTTTCCCTCAGCGCTGCAAGGAAGGCGCACAAATCAACGACAAAAATTCAAACGGCCAAAAGGACGTGACAGGACAGAGGACAGCTGTCCAATCGCACGCATGCCCTGGCAGATCGCCGTTGACTGGTCGGGCTGTTCTCCGGCGAAGCTCCGGCCAATCCCCCTGTAGTCTAGAACATCAGAAAGTTACGTTCGCACGTAACAGTAACCACCTACCCCACCCCCGCCAGGCTTCGACATCAAACCCGACGGCAACGGCGGAGGAGAAAAGTAACCAGCCGGAAACAAAGAAAGCCCAACTGAGCTCCCCCTCCACTCCCCACCCTCGTTGTACCCCGACAGCCTCCAACGACAACGGCAGACAGTTTCAGAGGTGGAATGGACAGTAGCCGAAAGCTGAAGTAGCAAACGGCAGATCAAATCCCCGGAATACGGTGATCTTCCCCAGCGAGTCCAGTTTGTTGTCAAAACACCCATACTCAGAACAGTTTCAGAGCCAAAGAAAATAAAGCACCGGAGGTTCTGTGATCGCACCAGTCCCCCTAGTCATCTTCTCCGGCCAAACAAAACACCATAACCAACCAGTCAAAAAAATCCCCAGACCATCACCTTACCCCTCGCCAGGGAGAAGAAGCCCCCTTACACGTTCCGATGCCCCCTCTTCCTCATTCCTTCCCACAATCGTCACTCCCTACCCTCTCCGGAGGCAGCACAGTGGTAATCAGTCCGGTAGAACTAGGGAGGCTCAGGTTCATCCAGGGGCACACCCTCCGGCTCAGAGCATCGAGGTGGTCCTCCGGTCAAAAAATCAACTCACAAAACATTAATACCACATGACCGGAGAACACATCAGACACAAAAACAAGGTTGAGGAGAAAATCCATACCAGCAAATGATCCCAAACAGAGCCAAAGTGGTTGACGAACAAGAACGAGTTCAAGTTTTTAGAGGGTGACCTTCGAGAAGAGTTCGTTCCAAGCAGCGAAGAAACGGAAAAAACCTTGAATAAACTGTCCGAGCCCCGATTCGTCTTGGCAAGCCTCCCCCACTTCCTCAGAATACCAAGGGCCCGCAACCGTACTGGCGTCATGTCGAAAGACCAAGCTGCAGACGCCGGAAAGCTTTCACTCCGGTTGCGACAGACCAAGGCCTCAAAGGTCGTCCTCCAAAGCACAAACCAGCAGTAGAGAAACCGCCGGACCCAGCTCAGCACATTCAGAATCAAAGCCAGAAAAATTCCCCCCAAAAACCAGCTCTGCATCCTCCATTTTTTCCGGCCAAACTCACAGTACGAATTTCATAGTTCCCATTTCATCCAGACCACCGAAAGTGGTGAAAAAACGAGCCAAAAAACCAAGCAAGGAAACCAGAAAGCCCGTCGGAGCCAGGAGGGACCCGGCGGCGGCGGCCGCCGCAAGTGGTGGTGCCGACCTGAGGTAGAAGAGTAGCCGGATCAACTAGAGAGAGACTCTCTCAACTTCTTTCCAGGCGCTGGTTTCCAACAGATCTCAGTCATTCAAAATACTATTGGATGTGCGATCAACTAAAGGGAAATAAAGGGTAATTTGGTATTATACTAATTGAACGTGTTTGTAACCGGTCATGTTAGTTAATGAATTTGTACGGTCTACTAATGGAAGCAATAAATTGTATTATATATGCTTCTCACGTGGACTGACTTGTATATTCCTTTTTATTTAATTTTTAGAAGGCATGTAATTATGAAATCATCTCTCTCCTTAACTATTATTCACCATATCATAGTTATTATGTTCTTGAACACATATTTTTTCATTTTTATGTTATATATTACCTCCGTCCCATTAAAAGGTTCCTGAATATGTTAATTTTATTATGTTATATATTACCTCCGTCTACTATTCACATGGTCAACTTAAATCATTTTTAATCTTTTACTCTATAAATAACTACCTCCGTCAAATTTAAATTTTTTATCAGGATTTGTAGCGGTTTTAATATAGTTTCTGAATATGTTAATTTTATTTACTAAAAATAATCAGAGTTTGAACAGGAATTAAGTTGCTTTATCGTCAGTCAAGCATCGTAAATCGTCAACGGGAACCTTCTAGCAGGACGGAGGCAGTACAAAATGTGAATAAGATATTGGTTCATGTGCATTACATTACATATTCGAGGTTGTGTGTTAGATACTGGTTCTTGTGCATTACATACTCGTGATTCTATATGTCCATACTGTGCTATATATGAGTTGTATAACGTATATATGTATTGTGTGTTAGATACTAGTTCATGTGTACAATATAATGGTTTTAGTAATATGAAGTATTTATGTGTTAGATATTATGGATTAGTTCTTAATTTTGGTGCTTTATATACAAATGTGTGAGAAACTATTTTTCATGTGCATGCGATATTAGTGATCATGCATCAGATACTGGTTCTTGGGCGTTAATTTGTATTGTGCATTATATATTGATTCTTGTGTGTTATATACTATCTGTGTTAGATATTAAACAATTTTTAATTTTGTGTGTCAGATACTCTTCCTTGTGCATTAGACATTAGATTTTGTGCTGAAGATACTTGTTTTTAGTTTTTCTTATACATATTGTGTGTTGGATAGTGTTTCTTGTGTGCTAGATATTAGTGGTTGTGTGTTAGATACATATTATTGTACCTGCGGTAGCTGAAGATAATGTTTGTTGTGGTTTATTGTATACATATTATACATTTTAAAAAAATCTATATGTCATATTGATCTCATTTGAAAGATCATAAAAAGTTATTTAATTTGATACAATTTTTGTTAAAATTAGATTATAATTTAAAAAGTTAAATCAATTTTAAAACTAAAATATTTAATATGATTTGACATTTAATTTATTCCTAATTTTTTGATAGGTGATAGCCTTGAACCGATACTACATTAAATGATTTTTGAAAGGTTGACAATTTTACCCTGTGCACAAGCCACACATGGTTATTTTAGTTTGCTAAATGTGTTTCTATGTTACGCAATGTAGGAACTAATTGTACACCTACTCATTAATCAACCGTCTGATTCTCTTAATTAAAAGTCAGGATTTGTTCTTATTTCTTACAATAAGGGGTGTTCTTATTAGAACCACTCCCTATATATATATATATATATATATATATATATATATATATATATATATATATATATATATATATATATATATATATATATATATATATATATATATAGGGGATGGTTCAAATACAAAGAGGTCTTCCCATGCAAAGTGAGAATTAATCTCGTGCATTCATTTTCAGATCTAATGGCTCAAAATGAGCAAAAAGTGAACTAAATTTGATCAAAAACGCGGTGGCAATTTCGTAATTAAAACGAATTTTTTTGCCATCGCGAAAAAGTGCAACAGAAACACGCAAAAGTGCAAAGCGGTGAAGAAAAAGTGCAATCGTTTGCATTTTGCACGGGAGAACCTCTTTTCATTTGATCTCTTCCATATATATATAATATATATATATATATATATATATATATATATATATATATATATATATATATATATATATATATATATATATATATATATATATATATATATATATAGGGAACGGTTCCGGTAAGAACGGACTCCCAGGAGAGAAATAAGAACGAATTTACACCATTGGATTGTTTTATGTGGAATGGTAATGTGCATTTTGTGAAACTGAAATGTGCATTACATGATATTGAAATGTGCAGAATAAAAATT